CCCCCCAAAAAAAAAAAAAAAATGAAGAAGAAGAATGGTCAATTGCATTCCAAAGACCAAACTAACGCTTGAAAGAACTGTTGGCGCCAAAATTGAATATTTAGTATAAGGTTTTTCTCCAGTTTCGGAAAATACACTTACAAGTTGCACTCTCAGTATAACAAGCAGAGAAAGCAAAGCTACTTGGATAACACTTCGTTAGACCTTTCAGGAGCTTAGCAGCAGAGCTAAGAAGGAACTCAAAAACTATTTTTCGCATCAAAAGGCTACTTTCTAGAGTTCCCTCTTCAGTTTTAGCCATTTTACGTCTATGCTAATCCTCACTTGACTTATCAATTTTATAGAGAGCTCGATGGAAAAGTAATGAAGTGATGGAATACAAATGCCACAAAAAAGAATGAACACAAATGACTGTCTCTCGAATTGCGTTCCATTAGGTGTGAATAGGCATAAAACAAGTTACAAAACTATCAAGATATTGCTGTCTTTACATGTAGTATAAAGTAGACGTTATGCTTTTCGATTCCCCCTACTAACAATTTCTCGGTCGAGCCTGTCGCACCAAACTTGCCTAGTGTGATTTACCTATCTAGTGTGATTTGCAGACTATTGTATCAGCCGGAGGATTTACCTAGCGTCCACCGGAAGGATAACAGCTGCGGGTTCCCTTTCACAAAAAAATATATAAATAAAATAAAATAAAATAATGAAAGCTCTTTCTGTTGAAGTCAGTGATAAAAACTTTGCATATTGCTTTTTATTGTTTGGATTCTTTGCTTGGTGAAGACGGAATAATAGAACTTTCAAGCGTGGGAACAACCAAAATTTAGGTGGAATATACAAAAGAAGAAATATTATGTCCAACGAATATATTCCCTAATCTTATCTTACTGATTATGGTTAAGGATAAAAGCAGAGAGAACACGATGCCACGCACTGAAATAATACAAGGAAATAAAAAGAATAACTTTTGATACAATTGTTTACATGTGGTACAATATCGAGTTTAGGACTTCTAGACAAATATTCTTATTGACACTCGCACACTTTTCCTTATAATCATATCCATAAAACAAAAAAGAACTTACGATTTATATGCTTTTAGATTAGAAGGGTGTTTGACACCCAATTTTTATGGAAAAATGAATTTTAGAATAGTAGAATGATGAAAAATGTGTGGATGAAAAGTTTTTTTTTTTTTTTACGTGTAATATTATTTTAATGCTAATGCAGAATGTGTTGTTAAAAATAAGGGAGAAAAATATATTTTGATAAAAATGAGAATCCTAGGTGTTACAATAGATCTACAAAGACAGCAATGAATTCAAGAACCTCTATTTTGGCCAATCCACAAATGAAAAGCTTCATCTCAGAATTTACAAAGTAATGGAGTTGCAAGAATAAATAAATTAAAGGCAATCACGGTTTCTTCATTTTTGAAAAGTTCAATAAGTAGATACAGATGGAATACAAAGGAAGACGAAATCCATGTGTCTCATGATACAAGTAGCACGTTGCTAGTCAGACATATAAATACCTGTATTCACAGCATTTGATCCAACAGCCAAGTTTTGATATCATATCAGCTCGATATACTTCTGTCGAAATGCCCCAAAGCATGTAATCACTATTTCATAAACACTTTTAAATCTCATATCCGGTGAATCTTGTTAAGACGCTTCTCAACAACTATCTGTAAGAACTATTCCAGTATATATGGTCCAACCATGAACACGGCCATTTTAGAGAAGTCAATACAGCACACTGGGGTTTGAATTCTTTGATCCAACAGCCAGGCTTTGATACCATATCAGCTCGATATACTTCTGTCGAAATGCCCCAAAGCATGTAATCACTAGTTCATGTTAACACTTTTAAATCTCATATCCTGTGAATCCTGTGAATCTTGTGAAGATGCTTCTCAACAACTATCTGTAAGAACTTAACTGCATTTCCTTTTCTCAAAAAATATTCCATAAGAACATCAATACATTTTCTTTTGTGCTCCAGGTATCAACAACTTTTATTCAAGAAAATGGCTTTAAAAGTCAGAAATTTTATTTTCTTACCACATTCAATGAGTTTTGCACTAATCAAATTGATTAAAATCTTTATATCTTTATATCAAGTCTGTGCAGCAAACGAATTCTTCTAACAAATTAAGAAGATTCATAACCTCTAAATCACCACAAAGCTTGTAATTTTTTTCAATGGTAGACAAAAAAGATGAACTCTGAAACAAATTAAAGGCATTGAGAAAATCCCAATAACAGCGAAAGAATAATTGTTTAATACAGGACTCACGTGATTTGATACGAAAATTTGCACAGGTCCTGCTTCGGCCAAAAAACCCATCTGCAACAAATTCAAAAACACATCTCTGAGCTCCAAAGCCTCATAGAGATCGGGACTATCTATAAACTGATGCAGTCTGAATACAAAAGGGGTGCGCTAAATGTTCACTGCTTATTACTTTATTTTAATTTAATTAGTGCTTATTAAACACTTTTCTAGCAGACGAAGAACTTAATTTGCAATTTTTTAAAGCTTAGCTCTGTACTCGATTTTATTAAACATGACCGGGTTTTATTCTTTTCTTAGATATGTCATATTATTCAACAAAACATTGTGACATTTTCTCCATGTTTTGCCTAATTTCTCAATATTAATCAGTATCAACAAGCTTTTATAGTCTTAATATCTAATTTCCACTGTATCATAAACTACATATAAATTTGAATGAAGAAAAAAAATCTGACCTTATTAACCATGGTAACAACAGCTTCAAGAATCACCCCCCTTAAAGGGTCGAAACACCACGCATTGGTACTTCACCGGAAAAGTAACGAATCCGGTACCATCGCGAATTAACCCTTTTCCAACACTTTCAATGCCGGTGATCGCTACGATGAACCCATGCCGGCCGCTGTAAAAAATAATCAGTATAATAATAATAATAATAATATTAACACTAAGAATACAGAAAACACACTATAATTATTCATACCTGCAAGTGCCCTCCACGTCTTTCAGGAGTTTGGTGACGAATTTATCGCGAAGGTCGCGGCCGAAGTGGCGGGGTGCAGCTGCATGTTCCGCTCCAATACTATGTGAAAAAACATCCCTTTCTCTTGAATTTTACTGTGACTGAAAGTTCAGACAGCTGCTCCGAGAGATTTGTGGGCGGGGGCGGGGGGACTGGAGAGGCGACAGACGCTGAGAGGGCAGAGATTCTGGGCATCACTGAAGATGCGAGGAAAATTTATGGTGTAGTCAATGAAATTTCATCGAAATCTAATTTGGGTTATTAACCTTTAATTTATCTCATGTGAGACATTGATATTCAATTTAGTTTCACATTTTGATACTTTGTTACATGTTGGTCCCCTATGGTCCCTCAAACAAACAGAAATTGCTTAATTAACAGTCATATGATCGGTTTGTTTGTTTGTCTGTTTGTTTTTTTCACACCATGAAATTGAAATAGTAAAATAGGGTTTTTGAAAATGTCTTTAGAGCCCTTGTTTGGACTTCATTAGGGGAACATGTATTAGGGAATAGCAATTTTTTAGAAAATTTGAAGTTAAAAAAATAGGAAAAAATTTCAATTATTTTATTAAAAAATATATAATTAAAAATAAGAAAGAAAATACGTTAAAAAATTAAGTTGTGCTACATGTACATAACATTAACATAATAATTTATCAACAGATGATGTGACGATACTTAATTGGATCAAAATTTCATCAATCAAATAACTTTCTCACTTATATTTTGACATCTCATCTTATGAAAAACATTTAATGGAGCCCAAACAAGGGCTAAAAATTTAAGTACATACTTTGTTATTTTAACACTTATATAAGGTGACGTAATGATAAATTGGTATATCACGAAGCTATTATATCCAAGGTTCATTATGGTACGACTACAAACCATGCAATTTTCATCAACCCATTGTGCATATTCTTTTGAAATTCCACACCTCTCTAGTAACTATTGGCTCACGCCTCACATACTATCTACATCTACATTGTGTTTGGAATTTTGTTTAATGACAAAGCCTGAACAATCCACAAAACTTGGGTATGTATGGTACAAGTAGAACTGAGGAATGAAATTGATTGGCTAGTTATTCAATTTCATAATCAAGCAATTCATGACCAACCATTCATCAATAGGTTGGAATGCTTGCTTTGTGGAGAAATTATTTGTATCGTAACCTCCATTCTACGCCTTGACTTCATGTACCTTGACCGACAACGTCTTGATCTCCACCCTGCGCCTTGACCTCTTGCGCCTTAACCCACACCAATAGTCCTCCAAGATCAAACTTGATATTCATCGGTGGTCGATTTCATGAGTTAAATATCCATCCCTACTTTTAATCAAGAAAAGCTCATTTATAGTCACAAACAAAAGGTCCAATAAAATGATATCTTTATTGAAAATTTATCACACCACAAATATAGATTAACAACACTTTGCATATCTTGCTTTATAAATTTATATTTTACATGCACATTTTTCTTCATGATTACAAAAAACACCATTTACTGAATTTATTATTATTTTTAATATAAATAGTTGAACAGAAAAAATATACTCAATTGAAATAACAAACCACGCCCTATATTTTACTTTGGGTATACAATTGAGATAAAATCCAAACAAGGGATGGGTAGAGAACTTTCGAATGTTGAGTAACGATTAAAAAAATGTATTGAAGAAAGTTTTTTTTTTATTCGCCTTTTTGCACCATTGGTCCTTATCGTATACAATTCCCAAGGCTTCGGGACCTATCATTTGAATTTTATTCATTCAAGTAATTTATGTACAGGCGATGGTTCCACCTCCTCCCTCACCCATCTTTCATTTCATTCGCTCATGTAATTTATGTTATCAATTGACGTGTCATGTCACTTGTGAGGAAGTACAAGTAATTTTATATAAGCACCCAACGATTACCTGTAGGTAATTGTAAATTCAACCATACACATGCAGAATAACTGCAAAAAACTAGTGCTGCCGTATTCTAGGAACTAGAGATTACTTTGAGGCATCAAGATCCCAAATTGAAACAAAGAAAATAGATACTGACCAGGGCGTTCTTGGAGAACCAAGCCCAATGACCAAATTTCAGTTCACTAGAACCGCTTTCTATCAGCGGGTTTCAATATCTGAAACGAACACATCAAACTTTCATCAACGCTCATCATTGCACCGGCATTATCAAATTCACCACAATAGTTGGGAGCAGAAAAAATTGTAACTAGCTGCCTATCAGCAAAAAATTCATATCCATCTTCCACTACCTGCACGACAAAGAATTCAATAAACAACAGAGACAACAAAAAGGGATCGAAGAGATCAACAGGAAACTATACGTTACCTGATGGGCACGACAAACAAGGTCCATATCATGCTGCATTAAAAATTCAGTCACCTTATCTGGACCAAATGTGTAAGAGACGCCCCTGTCATTCATCCCCCAACCTCTAATTTCTCTAGTGGGATCCGACCATAGTAGGTCACAAAGCAAACCAGAATCAGGAATATCAGTTGGGCGAGGCAAATTTCTAATTTGATCTAAGTTTGTTAGATCAGGAGAAAGACCACCATGCATGCAGAATATTTTATCATCCACAAGAGCAGCCACAGGAAGGCAATTAAAACAATCACTAAAGACTTTCCATAGTTTCACGTTGAATCGGCGTTTACATTCATCATAGAATCCATATATCCTATTAATAGAAGCGCATTCATGATTTCCTCTCAAGAGAAAGAAATTCTCGGGATATTTGATTTTGTAGGCAAGAAGAAGGCATATTGTCTCTATACTATGTTTGCCACGGTCCACATAGTCCCCCAAGAACAAATAATTAGCCTCAGGAGGCAGTCCACCATAGTCAAAAAGCCTTAAAAGATCTTCATACTGCCCATGAATGTCTCCTGGAATTCAGACACAACCATAATTTATAAAGACTCTTGTCAGAGGAAAATGAGAAACAATGAGAAAGTTCCAATTGAAACCCAAATTGCATTCTCAGAACTTATTAACAAGAAGAAGAAAAACTAGACAGTAATTGTTGGTTTTTTCAACTACAGCAAGTCAGCAACAATACTGATAGGCATGCTAAAGTAAAATTTAGAATTGCGTGACGAAGAGAATATGAATCCATCAGTAAATAACAGGATTTCAATTGATCAAATGTACCATGTTTTCCTGTTCTCTACGCATGTAAAGGCCATTAAAAAAGGTACATGCCACGAAAAATGCAGAGCGCACATCCATCTTAGCTTTTCACAATAAATGCACACAAGATAAAGCAGCTGAGGCAAACCAAAGGGAGAACATGAGCTGATATAGTAAACTACCAATACAATCATCCACATTTACAAAGTATCCATCTAATTAATCCTTTTACAAGAGATCTGTTATGCTATAAAGCTCCAAGTACCAACATTAATGTATTTAACCTTTTTTCAGGACCAACAATAGATAACTTTAAATGGAAAGCAAACATCACGATCACAGTCAATAGCTCAAAACAGAACTAACATCTGGCAATTATAGAATGCAAAATGTGTCACCAAATTCCCCCATAAGAAACTTTACAACTCAGACCCCACATAAGCCAATTCAAAGAAAAATGCTTGATGAAATTGCATTATCAAAACTGACTTTGATGGATTATTCTCCAACTACAGGACTTAAGAAGTAAAAGCTTAAAATATACCAAGAAAAAACAATACAAGCTTTAAAACATTGAAACTTCTAATAAATATCATTACTTATTGCAGCCAATGGCAAAGACAAATGTATCATGTACAACCCTAAGTGATATTGAGCGTTGTGATTCCAAGCAACATTAAGCCCTCAACTGAATGAACAGGGTCACTGTACAAACTAAGAATAACACATTTCTAAGTTTTCTTGATCCTTTTCAGTCTCAAGAATTTGAACAGGAGTAAGTTTATCAACGTCAATTACAATCATTTCAATTTTCTATTGAAATTCCAACATGGCATAGCAAAACCCTGACACCATCGAGGTGCTACATCGATATAGATATTTTGATAACATAAACAGAATTCTAGGAATTAGAACTATAAAAAAACAGCTTCAAAGCATCTCACACTAACATTTCGAGGTTTTCTTTTGGGCAAAGAAAGAGGTTCTAGTAGAATATGAAGAGGAAGACAATGACCAAAATTAACATGACGTATGGAGTTGCAAAGAACAATATAATAGGATCTTTTTTATGAATGTGTAGGTGGACCGAATGGAATCGAAAAATAAAAATAAAAAATATATATACATTAAGCTGACTCCATCGACATTTTGATAACATAAACAGGATGCTAAACTATGAAAAACAGCTTCAAAGCATCTCATACCAACATTTCGAGGTTTTCTTTTGGGCAAAGAGAGAGGTTCTAGTAAAATATGAAGAGGTAGACAATGACCAAAATTAACATGACGTATGGAGTTGCAAAGAACAATATAATAAGATCTTTTTTTTATCAATGTGTAGGTGGACCGAATGGAATGGGGAAAAAAATTATAATGGGAAAATTGATCTCCGAATAAGTTATTTTCAATTGTTATGATCAGAGGAATAAGATTTTACAACTTTGATGTGGACTCAAATTTTAAATCTGCTTCCATAAGGACCATACCGATAAACAAATATTGCTTAGGCCACGTGCTTGCAACACAATAGTAATAATGTTGCTTGAGTGAAGAAGTCTTGATTTTGTTCATTTGCTAATGGGAATGTTATTCACAATATTACCTAGATTACATTTTTATTCACGAGACAATTTGCTACAGTATGATCCCGACTCTCAATTCAAGAGCCTGTTTTGGAGTGATTTTGAGAATTAATTTTTTGACCGTTAGGAGAAAAGTGAGGTTCATCTGTGAGAGAAGAAGTCAAATATGACGGCTGGAATAGTGATATAACGGTCAAAAAATCAATTTTTTGGGTGAAAAAATCGCTCCCAAACAGGCCCCAAATTTCACAGCGATGTACTCATTTATCGTGTGCCACTCGATGAACAAACATTAATGATACATATCAATCAAAAAGCAGCAATTACCGAATGGACATTGAGAAAATTTTAAAAAGAAAAAATCAATGGCGAGCGGTAAAGTTGACAAAGGATAGCTCCATTAGTACAATGTGAATATAACAATATTCAATACCTTGATCAAAACCAGAATTGCAACCATTCCCCTACCAGGCCAAAAGAATAATATACACAACAATTCTAAAAGAAAACCAATTTACTCTTTTACTCACACTACCAATCACCCTCATCGCTAGCATATTCACACAAAAAGAAAAAAGAAAGACAATTGTTAAAGGTATATTCTATAATCTGCAACTCGTCCCTTCCTTTGAGCACTGGAAACTGTAAAAAACTAAAACACAAAATTCTATCTAAGAAATCTCATTATTTTTCCCATATTCACAGACTCCAAAAACCAATGATTTTACACGAAACATTCATCAATCAAGGGAAAAAATGCAAGCTTGAAAAGGAAGAATACCGCAGATCTTAATGGGGGCTTCGAGCTCAAGAAGATTGGGTTGCGAGAGGAAAATTTCGCGGGACGTGGTACAGAGAGCTCGGACGTCATTTTCCGAAAGCTGTACCTGGCGCGGCGTCCTAGGGTTCCTGAACTCCAAAAGGCGGTTGATAATATCATCTAGAACAGCAGGCTCAATCCCTCCCTGTCCATTTGCCGCCATTTCTCTCCCCTCCCTTCTATTCCCTAAAACTGTAACAGCATAACAAACCCTAATTTCACCCCCCCCCAAAAAGCAAAGAATGAAAAAAAAGATAAAAAAAAAAATCAATTCTTGAGGTTTCAATTGTCTTGCTGTAAACAAGGGAGAGAATATGAGATGAAAGAAAAACGAAATAGCGAGAGGAGTGAAGAAGGAGACCACTGTAACTCTTAATCGCAAGATGCCCAACGTATATGCGTAGACACACGGGAAAATTTCAGCGTTAGTCCCTAACCTTTGGCCTTTATAGCAAATTGGCTCCACTCATTCCGCGTAGATTTATATCTCACATAATACCCTTGATTCTCCATCCCTTAGGTGAAACAATGAAAAGCATAACATGGGGAACACTGGGGACCAATTGGGAATGAGGGACACCAACTGTCTAACACTTGGAGACGCTAATCAAATTCAAGCAATGTTACGGATGTAGATATTTTCAGTTGATGGGGCATAATTAAATTTGCAAAGAATATAGATTTACGTTTATCTCGAACATCACCAAGTTTATCTCCAACATCATTTTCATCACTTTTATCTTGAATAATATTTTCATTAACATTTCTATTTAATAAGAAAATACAAAAGAAATCATAAAAAAGAAATAATTTTCTAAGGCTTCAAATCTAATTTCCGAGAAAGCAAAAAAAAATTAAAAATTAAGTTGGTGGGTCAAGTGACCCACCAGGATCCACTGTGGTTCCGCCAGTTGTTTGAACTTATCTGTGGTAACATGCTTTGTTAATATGTTTACTGCATTCTCAAAATTGTACACGCTTCGTGGTATTGCAATTTACCGAGAGATTTCATCATTTCTTTTGGTGGTTTGCTGAGAAGAAGAAAGTGTGAAAGAAAATTGCATGCATGCTTTGACAATCCTTAAAAGGGAAGAAAAGTTGGATCACTCTTTTCTTATAATGTTAAACAAAAGAATTTAATTTGTATAGCATCGTTTTCATTTTGAAATATGATGATTTGATGACAAGCAGTACACAAGGGAAGATCATATGATATTAAAACTATAATCTTAAGGGCGTCGTGAGCTTAAATGTAATTAATCTAAGCCCACATTTGACCCCCATTAACACGATAATCCATTTTTTCTATCTTCTTATCAATTACACATTTTTCAATAAAACAATATTACACGGAAAACTATTTTTTTTTTTAATTTCAACCACACATTCTTAAAAAACAAAACAAAAAATTCCAAATTCATAATTTCAAATAATGGGGGCTAAACATCACTATAAGAAATCGACTTTCTAGTTTACTAAATTTAAGAAACTAACAATGAGAAATCTTGATATTTTTTCCATGATTCCATAATCTTTACACTTTCTGTCATCACGAGTCTGCTATGTGTTGGACCTAGAGTGGTTGTAATGAATGAGATTAATGATGCAATATGAACTAACGAAAATCGCAACGAGAAACAAGATTTAAAAGTGAAGAAATTAACAAAGAGTGTTAATCGCAGAAGCACGACATTTTATTAATCGACAATATGGAGAGAAATACAAGAACTCGACAATTCTTGCTTGAACAAAACTAAAAGAGAATACCACTATTTATAAATACATGGCATAGCATAAAGATTGAGATAATGTGAAATAAAGAAATAATATATTTTTCATAAAAATCACGTGAAATATAAGGAAAAAAGTTCCTACATGAAAATAAGGAAACAATTTATTTATAAAAGAAAAAAAATACACTCTAATTTGGGTCACAACCCAACAATCTCTCCCTTAACCCAAATTCTAGTACAACGAACGAAATCTCAAGATTTCAAATCTGTCTACATCGAAATAACCAATCTCTTCAACACAGTATCCAAAACTCTCCAAACCAAATCGTCGTCCTCTGCAAGACGTCCACGAACGACACCTGAACCCAAATCCTATGTTCCCAAAATTCCACCGAGGAACTACAGTTGACCAAATAAGGTTGAAGCACACTATGTAGCAGAAACAATACCACATGCTGGATCAGAAGACCCCTTGCTATAACTGTTACCTTCAAAATCCTCGAAAGCATCCCAGACATTATTAACATCACGGTACCTACACTCTATGAGTCCAACCTTAGCAAATGAACACAGTGTATCAGCTAAAATTGGGGCAAAGCGAAATCACCAATGCTACCCTGTGCAATGTTCTGAACCAACCCAAAGTCGACCACAAGAGGTACTGTACAAAACTGAATATCCACCACGGTACTATACTTGTCCCGATGTCTTTTAACTGGTTCTGCACTTCCCTACAAAATGTACAACTGAGACTTCTTCCGTCCCTCCAATACAACATTGACACCCATTTGGCCTTAAAAAACTCTACTCCACCAGAGAATTTATATCTTTTGCATCCAGAGTACTAAGTAAGATGAAATTTGGAACATGTTAAACTTGATCAATTGTTCTGACTGACGCATCCTAAATCTGACTCGATCGATTTCAGTAATACAGCAAGACTGGTTGTATTCCATTACAACTTCATCTTGCTGAATAGCCTCATATATCTGAAAGAAATTTCGGTTGGAACACATATGATGCAAATATGCTAAATCGAGAATCAACTCCTCGTCAGGCCTAGACTCCACGTCAGAAACCACGATCAACATCACATCTCTACAATTCGAAAAATTTTCGACAACATTAATCACATCAGAATTACAAAATTGCTTCCTATAATTTGTAGTTAAATCACCTTTAGCCTGCAACTTGTCACAATCCTTCTTTACGTTTCCTTTTCTCCTACAGTAAAAGCAGTACAAATTGCTGAAGTTCGTCCTTGCTCTACTCCTCCATTGATCACCATGAGATACCAGAGTTTCCTCATCCTTCGATGTAGCTCCAACCAAATGCTCCAAATCTATGATAATTTTCTTAAACACGGCAATATGGTCTTCCAATGACCCTCCTTCTGCCATGCGATGGGAATACAACTTCTGTTTTAGAGCCAATTTACTGGTAAGACTATTGGTAATACATAACTACTCTAGTTTCAACCACAAAGAAGCTGTTGTTTTCTCCTTCAAGACATCTTGCAGACTATTGTTAGATAGATGAAGATGAATCAACGATAAAGCCTTCCAATCCCTTCATTGTTTCTCCTCCATTGTTCAATTAGCTGGCATCTTCTCAAAATCCAGCAAAACATCGTCTATATCCAACTGCGCCAAAATAACTCTCATCTTTACTTGTCACAAAGAAAACATTGTATTGGGAGCAAATTGTGAAATATCATACTTCAAAGCAGCCATCTCTGAAAAACCTCAACCAATCCACAATAAGAACCAAGCTCTAATTCCACTTGTTGGACCCGGAGGGATTGTAATGAATAAGATTAATGACGCAATATGAAGTAATGAAGATCGCAATGAGAAACAAGATTTAAAACTGAAGAAATTAATAAATAGAGTTAATCGCAGAAGCATAACGTTTTATTAATCGACAATATGGAGAGAAATACAAGAACTCAACAAATCTTGTTTGAACAAAACTAAAAGAGAATACTACTATTTATAGGCACACGACATAGCATAAAGATGGAGATAATGTGGAATGAGGAAATAATATATTTCCATAAAAATCACGTGAAATATAAAGAAACAAATTTTCCCACATGAAAATAAGGAAACAATTTATTTTCAAAAAAAATCCACCTTGATTTGAGTCACAAACCCAATATTATGTGGAATGTGATGAATAAACCAATTCCCTTTTTGCAGTTGCAGTGCTGGAAGAGGTTGTTTGATTAAAATCTATAACAGAAGTTTCAAAGGATTTGCATCAAAGTTCAATGAGACGCAAAAGCAATCATTTGCCACTAAACAAGCTCATATGTCTTAATTTGCAGTAGGAGATTGATATGGAGGCTCAATTTGTAGAGGGTGGAAATTAGCAACAATTTTATGTAAGTCTAAATGGATTTGTTTCTATGTTCTCCAGCAAATTATTGAGCACCATAGGAAAGAACCTAGGATTTCATGGGCTTCTCTGAGAGTGTCGAGAGAAGATAATTGGTGTAATTGACTCTGAAATTCAGCTGGAGATTGAGAGCGTTAGTGATGAAGGCCTTGGTCCTCTCCCTCACAAATGGAAACGTTCTTATGATTAGGGAAAAGTTTTACAAGTAACAAGTAATGCTTCTTTTGGTATCAGATGCTTTATGGATTTTGTCGAACCCATGATAGTTCGGCACATGGTGTCTTCTTAGCAAATGAAAAGACATCATACACATTTTCTGATACCTAGGCATGTTACATATTAACATCTTCCCATTTGCTAAGAAGATGTGATGTACTGAGCTATCAAAAATGTATTCAGGAGACAACAATTGATCTCAACTCGATTTTATCATGTGTAAGATATATTATTGACTAGTATTGATGGGTTTGCAGCAAAATTGTTGGAGCTTGATTCTAGTCTTCAACAGATTCAGATTTTTCTACACATAACGTTATTGGTCATGGTGAATAACTAACACTTGAATTCATTACCATGAAATATAAGATCGACCACTACACAATTATTTATTAGAATAGCAAATTTTAGTACCATTTAATTGAATAATGCTATGTGAGTTTAATTAAAGGTGAAATTATATAATTCATTTAATCGAACATATAATTTAATGCCACTAGTGTTAAATAGCACTAGTCTCAAGAAAGATTAGCCATAAGCTAATAAGCACATAGTAAAGCAAACATTCTAACTCGTTATTAACAGAGTTGTTCTCAGGGATCGAATAATAGCAACTTTAAGGTACTAGCACTAAAACACGGTCTAGTTTTTGCATGCAAGTGGGATAAGGACAAGGAATCCAGTAATGGTTCGGGGCACATGGATCCAGTAAGAGCGATCAATCCAAGACTAGTATATGACGCGTTGAAAGAAGTTTACATCATGGTCTATAATCCAGCAAGCAAAATCTTTTGAGATTACATGTAATAGAACAATGACTAATATTGGAATTATGAATTCTACTTTTACACAGCGAGATTGCTTCAAATCCTATGATTGGAATTGAAGTGGTGCTTGAGATACTCTCTGTTTCGCGCGGGTAGTCGTTAACAATTAAAAAGGAATCAGACGATTGTGTAAGGAACAGACCTCTTGAGACAAAGTCCCAAAAGGGGGTGTTTTATTGGCGATGATTTACAATTGGAACTAAACAGAATACCT